TAAAGAAAATAATAATAAATTAACTGTAATACATAAGCATAAAAGCACTTTACAAATAATTATATGTAATCTTAACTTGCTCTTTTGCATGAAACAGTAACATGAAACGTAACCTTGGACGAATACTATAACAGCTCGAGCTGCTTCGTTTCAACAGTGTTAAATGCAGGCAACCACAAAATAGAACCGCAACAAGTGCATATGTATAAAATCGCGCGAGAGTACTGTACTGTAATATTAATAATAATAATACATAGATAAAATCGGAAATAGCTCAGACGGCGATTATCAGGAATTTCCTACATTGAACTTCCGTGTCATTATGTGTCATTATGTGAAAAGCGACTAATTGTCCACAAAGAAATCGTGTGTCCTGAATCAGAAAGGTTATATCACACGAGTGTATAAAAATGCTGTCAAATGCAGACAATATCTTGACGGTGACTACACAGTATTCATGTTATATCTGATAACCCTATTGATCATGAAAACACGATGAAGTTGAATGAGCCGAAATAATATCTCAAAACATTTTCAGACACAATATGATTGTTGTTTTGAACGATGTTCAAAGATCGGAGACATGATCATATCTCAGACTGATTTGGTGCATGGAGAGGGTGCATAGACAGAGGGAAATTGTAATGTCCTGTCTGCTTGTTATCTGAATTTTTTTTTAGTATTAATGAAGTCATCTGAATCATATTCATGATAATGTATTGAATTCCCCAGTCCTGAAATGTGATAAATTGTTATTTTACACTGATCTTTGTTCCGTAATATGATATAACAAACACTATCCGGAGGGTATTCTTCAAATCATCTCATTCATTTTTGCATGCTTATTCATGAGAAAAAGAACAGTTCTGACACTTTCTTACTTTCAAAGATTATTCAGACATTGTCATGCTATATTGGTTATAGGATACAAGAAAGCAATTATGTTTTAGTTAATAACGGTTTTATGCTTAGTTTTATTTTGTTGTTGTTTTTCGCAATTGAAATTCAGTTTTTGTAATTTGGTTTTTCAAACAGTTTTCGTAACAATAGTCTTAGATTCTGGATGGAAATATAATTATTAATTTATTACAGTCAAGAAAACAATTCCTGTTATATAAAATAATATAAAAAAGCCTACCTAAACTAAAGGGAACATTTTCCAAAGGTATGATAACATATTTTGAAACTTTGTGAAAATGTATTGCCTATATAGTTTTGCAAATTAAGATATGGATAGATGTATAAACATATTTAAATTGTCATTTTTGAAAGAGAAGTTTTAGAAAAAAATAAATATATTATAAAACTGCTTGACATTGACGTTTGCATTCGAGATCAACCAAAACGTATAAGATATTAACTTCTGCTCACCACACGTATAACCGGCTTTGATTTGCCATTTTTAAATAAATGTTCTATAGTCCAAAGCATCGTTATAGAATTTGTATTTTATTAGCGTCAGACAAGTGTCATAGCTATGCGTAACTGAAATACAATGTTAATGTAATTATTATTATAGGCTTGTTACATCAAAATATATTTTAAAATTGAAACGAGCAATACAATAATGAATGAATTTAATCTTTATGTCATTAGACGGTTTGTGAACGTTGTATAACTCATTTAAACATCAGTGAATAAACGACAGATAACTTATATAAAATAAAATATTATTAAAAGTAGTTTTGGACATGCATTTGCCATTTAAAATCATATCTAAATATATATATATAAATCATATCTAAGAATAAACGTCGCGTGATGAAAAAAGTGCTTTTAAATTATTATTACATTTATTTACATTTATTTGTGTGAATAAAGTGCATGTCTGATAAGTTTAGCTATATCAGTCACTCTCAGCTTTATCAGACACCTCATTGATAAATATTGAATTGAAGAGAATGGAACATTTTTACCTTTTACTAGTTAAAAAAGAAAAACAGATAAACTTTCATTCGAATAGATTTTTTGAATATCAGAGTCTCTCTTACGCTTGACAAAAACCTTTTTTGAAATATTCCTTATAGATATCACCCTTGGCATATCACTGCGCTCGAAAATAAACCATATAGTGTTCTGACAGCCCTACACGTATAAAGCTAAAATCATCACTATTATAACGTTGTTTTTGCGGAAATTAATGTCATGTCTATAAATGAAATAAAATAAAATATGAAACAAGATTTGAAAAACACCAATCATGCTTCGATTTCCAATGTTTTATTACAACTACTTTCTCTCAGACAGTTTCCTATACAAGTAATAAAATATCAACTGTCTGCACCTATTTCTATTTTTTGAATAATCCTTTATTTAATTCGATGTGAGTTCATTAAGGTTTTTATATTAGATCAAGGAAGAATTGTCGTATAATTTGTCTGGATATGAATAATGGTAAACATATTGTCTCTATACATCAACAGTTAAAGATAGGCGATATGTCTCGAAAGCATGCTCATGCGACCTCAACAAATTTGTGTTGGCATGCGAAGATATCACCTTTTCAAAACGCGCTTCAATGTCATATTGAGAATTATACGTAATAGCCGTCCTATACTTTTTACAATGTTTTGTTATATTGTTATGATACTGACAATAACTTATTTTCTAGCAAAGGTTTAACTATAGACAATTAAATAGACAAAAATGTATGAGAAATAGTGTACTTTAAGATGCCTACTGGTTTCTATGAATGACAAGATGATATGTTATTGTCATAATAAAATTTAAACTTTCTTTGGCCGTTGCTTCTCTGTAACTGTGAAACTCACATTAAAACGTCTGAATTACACAAAATTTCTATGTGGTGTGGTCAAAACATTCTTAAACTTTTTTATTTTTGTAATTAAAACAACGAAATTTGCAGAATAAGGACAGATAAGCAACAAGCAAAATATAACATTTAACAACATAGCAACTTTTATATAGATCTCTAGATCAAACCCTGCTGTGTATATGTAGATACTTATATTAAGATACATCTGTAAATAGTGATAATTTCAGTTTGTTTTATTTTAAGAAAAGCGACTTTGCATAATAAAACAGTGAAAACATTCAAAACATGTTTCTCAGTTTACATTGACAACATTTTGTTTTGTTCTTATTTAGTGCAAATTTCATGGATGATTCTTCAAAATTTGTCATCTTATATCATCATCTAATGTAATAAAATTAAAATTATATTTGCTTAATAAATACAATTGCAATTCAAAACAAACACATGTAGCAATATCACAGTAGGTTTTGAGCATAATAAGGGATTAATAATGATACAAAAATTGTCTTAATATATGATATCATATATGTAACAATTCTGTATTTTTCGTGCCATTCAAATTTCAGTTTATGATATTTAAGTATAAAATCTAAATATATAAGCAAAGTGACATTTAAGAAAGACATCAAATCACAACTTTGATGCTTTGCGAAATGTTTATATATTCTTGCATACTATTTAAGATTTAAAGACGTTAGTAAGTATTCATTGATATAAAAAAATCCATCTAGCGGAACAATAAATATAACACGGGGGCTTTTGTGGATCCAGATCTTTTATGCAATATTGGTTTTCCAGGACTGATTCATAAAGCAGAAAAGCCCAGATACTTCATTCATTTCAACGTTTGCTGATGTGCTGTAAAGACGGTGTTAAACAATATTGGACATAACAGAAATCAATGGATGATACATTAAACAAGGTGAAGTATGCTATACTTTTTTTAAATAAGGTTAATTCCTTTAATTTTCAACTTTTATCTCAATTAGGCATTAAGGCTCCGATGTGATGACTGTTTATGAAATTATAGTGTGAAATCGGTTCGTTTTAATTAAAATACGTACATACAAAACAGGTTTGAAATTAGTTATTTTATATGAAAAGAATAAGCAGAATGCATTTTGGATATTAAACAATATTTTTTTTATCTCAAAAGCCAATGTCAGCTAAACTACATCAAATATCAAACAATTTATTTTAGTTTTGATTTTTTTGTACGTGTCATACAAATTCTCGTTCAATTCGTCAGAAATATGTATGAACATTTATTTTTTATTTTCTTAAATGCTTTTCAAAAAACAACAAAATAATAATAATAATAATAATAATAATAATAATAATGATAATGATAATAATAATAATAATAATGATGATGATGATGACATTGATGATGATGATGATGATGATGATGATGATGATTATGATGATGATTATGATGATGATGATAATAATAATAATAATGATAATAATAATTTGATTCAACAGTACATGCAGTATTTTGTATAGAATTTAAATCGCATTTAATGAATAAATACATTGTTTATATGTTTGATAATGAGTATGAATCTATTTGTAGATCATGTGTAGATTTAGTGGTTATGAATATACATGATATGAAAAATAAAATTTGATAACAGTAAAATAAGGTTGCTGTAATAATCTTGTGGCCGATTATCGAAAGAGTTGTATCATTAATTCAATATCGTACGCAAACACAATGAAATATTTTAAAACAAAATATAATTCTGTCGTTTTAGGAGGATATGAACAATAAAGCAATGCATACTCGCCAATAAGGAAATTAATTTTAAAAAATCTTCTTTCTTTTTCTTTCAGAATACAAATAATAATATAATAAAAGTTATTGTGAATAACCGATGTTAGATAAATTGCTTAAAACACTACGAGTATAACGTATTTGGTACATTTGAAAACCGTATATTTTTCTTTTTATTGTATTAAAATTCAGTTGTTTTTAAACTTAATCTAGTGATGTTAAACCCCTGTGAAGCGCATTCTAGTGTGACAGGGCCTTATTCCTACAAAAAAGAAACAAACAAACGATCTCTCTCCTACGACTTGTATTCTTTTTCTATATAGAAAGCAATGTATTTCGCTTTAACTGTAATCAAAATTACAATTCTTTTTCGAATGAATAGCCAATATTATAAATAAAAATGTTGGAAATTAAAGTTTATTACTTGAAGTGTTATGTCTTTTCAGGATGAACATCAACGAAAGCACAGTCCTGATTGATCTTAACTTAGACATCAACTCTGACAAAAAAAACGGCTTTGAAATAGTAACTGTAGACCCGGATACATTTAATGTTACACAACATGATAATATTGGTTCATCTTATGGCTTAATTTCTGGTTATATAGAAAAATATGTGATACCTGTTATATGTTTGCTAGGACTGATTGGGAACACTCTTTCCTCAATTGTTTTCTTACGTAAACCAATTCGGAATAGTTCTTGTAGCATATTTCTGTGCGCGAGAGGCTTCTCTGATAATGGTTTTCTTTCAACGCTTCTGATAATTTGGATTTCCCGAACTTTTCAGTTGCGTTTAGGCGAGATCCAATCGTCATGTCAGATAATTATCTTTCTTACGTATGTTTTTGGATGTACATCAGTTTGGCTTGTTGTATTTGTCACCGCAGAAAACTACATCCGAATATGTAGACCATTTATCGTCAACAGAATTTGTACGACCAACGTAGCTAAATGTGTTGTCGGGATCCTTTTGTTTGTAACATTATGTATCTATAATTTTCCTTTCTGGACAATGAGTCCAGATACGTGTGTACTTTACGGGCGATATCATAAAACGGTGCAGGTGTTTGTATATGCTGATACGTTTTTAACATTAATTGTGCCTTTAATATGTATTACTCTGGTGATGACGGCCATTGTATGCAGTCTCCTAAAATCTTACAACAGAAGAAGTAGACTACGCGCCCCAACTGCAAAACGAATCAAAAATCCTATGGCAAAAGTTACAAAAATGTTATTTGCTGTGACCGTCACATTTATCTGCCTAAACTTACCGTCACATATTAACCGACTCAGGATTATGATTTCATCAATATTTGAGACCACAGAACAAGGACAGTACACCTCTCGTGAAGGAATGATTCAGCATATCACGTTACTAGTTTCATACTTATCGTTAACTACAAACCTGGTAGTTTATGTGACTTTTGGAAGCAAATTTCGCAAAGTGCTCAAAGACATGTTTCATATTCCTGACTTATGTCTTAAATCAACGAATTTAAGAAATGTTGAAAATAGCCAAGAGCTTATACCAATGATTAGTTGAGCAAAATTCAATTTATGACAATTTTTTAGTAAAAATCTTTGCGGTTGTATTTATTTTTTGTTTTGTTTTTTTCTTATTCTTTTTTTTCATCGATGAAACCCTTTACGAATTAAATGTATATTTTGAAAAGAAGACAACATTTTGATGTACAAGTGTTATTCGATTGTACACAATAAATCTGTAAAATGTTTAATTGCCGTTACAATGTTGAAGGTAAAATATGTTACAGTTTTACTTTAACTGTGTTCTGTAAAATGTAAGTTTGTTTGTTTGTTTGCTTTGGGTTTTACGTCACACCGACACGGTATAGGTCAAAAATGTAAGACTAAGTCCATGAACATTAGCAGCGTACCAACTACATATATCAGAAAACAATGTTAATTTATGAACTTTACAGGATTGATAAAGTAACTCAAGTTCTTGCGCATATAACAGAGTTATGGCTGTTCATTCAGAAAGTGTGTCTTTTGTGTTGCCAGCTATATGTTTGGACATCTCTTCAGAAATTAGTGCATTTTTCCATCAAATCTTTACAGGAATAATCAATACTATGTCTATTTGTGCATCTCGTCAACATTTTTCGATTTTATGATAATTGTCACAGTAATGTCCCTTTAATGATTATAATTTTGGAAATATGTCCGGACTACTCCTCTTATACTACTTATGCAATTTTAATCAAACTTTACAGGATAAAATGGTAGCTTAAGTAATTAAACATATTAAACGGGTTTTCCGGTTGAAGTGGCCTTGAATAAAAATGTTTTTGCCCTGTAAATGATTTTTGGATCTTCTGCTACACAGTAACTGCAACATGCATTTGGCTATCATGAGGCGACACATGCCATCACTAATGGCCTGTTTTACAAAATGTTACATAATTTTTTTATTATTCTATATTTCTGATGGAAACGGCGATGAAAAGGAATAAATTGTGATTTAAAGTTTTTAATAGCCTAGTGTGTTCCTGATAATTTTGCAACGTTGACTTGTTTTTAATAATCAATATGCTGGTACCGGCATTTATATTCTAGATTAATCTTTTGAATGTGTATATAGAAAACAAGTACGGATTTAGATTTCCAAACTATACATTAAGTATGGAAATACTACGTTAAAGATATTTCAAAGTATATTTATTTGTACTTGTATTAAAAAAGTGTTTTCTTTGATAAAAAAGCATGTTAGTATGGCGACTTGGTTGATTTTCCCTTTTCACATACACCTGCACAAGTTAGGTGTATTAAATTGTCTTTTGTTTGTTAACGACGTTTAATAGACGATCATACTGATGTTTAGAGGCAAGAACATTAAAATATGAAAACAAAAGTAACAAGGACGGAACATATGGCCGCAGAAATGAATAATATGTATGCGAACATTACTTTTTGCCCAAAGACAGTAAAGCTGAACGCACAGTTGACTTCCATACAAATAAACAACCTTATGGCTATAACTGTTTCAGTTCTATGTATGTAGATATGTATTTTCACCGAAAATAGAATGTTGTTATGATATAAGAATAAAATCATTATTGGAGCATAATCAGTCTTTTATTCATACTTAAGGTAAATAATGATAAGCTCGTTTTATGGTCTATGACGCCAAGATTTTAAGGCCCATTATGCCCAAGAAAAGCTTATAATTCTATTCCACAACATAATTTATTTTTTTCATTTTTTTGTCTTGTTAAAGTTAACAAAAGGTTACTCATTGACCAATCACATAAACTGTCTTCGGCTTCTATTGTCTTCTAGTTATTAGTGTTTTATGTTATTTATAATGTCACAGTCGTTTCAAATGGTAAATACCAATCGAAAACGTGCTAGAATGTTCTACTCTGTTTTCAATCAAGTTATCATTCCTGCCCTGTTTTTATTATAGGATCAAACATACCAAACCCAAGTAAGCAACTTCAGGAAAACCCAAGTGCCACTTAAACTGTAGATAACATTTTTATATATATAAAAATTCACTTAGTACACATACATAAGATACATAATGGGACATGAAATGCGAATAAAGTGAACTTTAACATGAATATTTACTAGTAAAAAATAATTCATAAGTAAACAAAGGACACAGTTTAAAGAAAATTCGAGAGAGCCTTCAAGATAACCAAACATAGTAATAAAATCATGTCAACATTAGAGTGTATTTTATTATATGATTTAAAGAGAACATCTTTATGTAGCCGTTTCTACTTTTTTACTTCCTATACAACTGTTAATTGACATTTCTTTTGGTCGGATCAGTAGGTAATTACACAGCTGCTACTGCATTACAATTGTGACTAGACATTTCCGGATTTTTTGACGTAGTTTTGTCAGGTAATGAATGAAGGGAAATATTTCAGTAAATTAATCATAGACGAACTGTCTGAGATGCAGGGTCATTTTGAAAAAATTAAACAATGGCTTACTTCCTCCGTCGGTTGTGCAGTTGTATTCTAAACGAATTCAATTACAACGCAGTAAATACTACGTATATGAAATACTCATACAATCGTGGCAGAAGTGTCTTGATCGTATTTCAAAAAGGCAACAATTACAATAGTTTAAAAGTGTTCCAATCGAAATAGTTGAAGTCAACAATTACAAATATAAGCTAAAAGTGTTCCAAACGAAATATTTGAAGTCAACAATTTAAATAGATTAAAAGTTGTTCAAACCGAAATATTTGAAGTCAACACTTAAGATAGATTTAAAGTGTTCCAAACGAAATATATGAAGTCAACAGTGACAATATGTTTAAAAATGTTCCAAACAAAAATATTGTAGCAGTTAATGTTTTGCTATGATACTCAATGGCTATCTTTGAAAAAGTTAATACATTTCCGAGTGTCCATTGTGTGACTTATAACCACTTGCCTCTAACCCTATAGGTTCAAAGTCCACCAGGGACGACCTTTTGATTCTTTGCGGGGCAGATATCCAGCAAGCCTAGGAGACTTCGGTGGTTCTACTTAGGTTCTCGTTCGTGCCTGAAGTAATACAAAGATGGGTAGTTGAGCTCCTTTCTGAACAGTTAGATGCAAAGTCGCCATATGACTGACTTTTACTGTTTTGTTATGACTTAAATCCACACCAAAAAGGTTTCGCATGAAACATTTAAACATGTTATTTCTTTCAGTCCTCCAATTGTTATCAATTTAACCCTATAATATTTTACCATCTCACATGCATTTAAAACATACAAAAATGGAACAAAGTTTGAGGTCGTCTTGTAAAAGCAATAAAAAGACGCCACAGTGGTTATAAACTGGTTCAGTATGTGCTTAATACAAAGGCTTTGGAATATGATAAATATGTGAAAACGCTATATCTGTTAACTTGATATTACATATAAATAACAGCAGTCATTTACTGTAATTAAAATTGTTCTGATAAGTTCTCATACATTTATTTAGAAAAACGTAATATTATATTCCACGCGGAAAGACAACACTTTTAATGTATATATGGGACTGATTTAGTATGGGTTGGTATTTCCTCCAGCAGTTTCGTAAATTTTTTAAATTACAAGCTTTTAAAGCTGCTGTATATATATAATTCAAATGAATGAAATGAAAGACAATAAATGAATACGCATTACTAAAAATATTTAGATTTAAAGTATATTATAACATAGAGCTTGGTTTTTATTCTTGTTCCTTGTTTAGAAACGTAAGATCTTTCAGTAAAATCGTCTAATCAAAACTATTTACCAAACAAAGATTCAAAAGATTGAACAACTATTTCTGTTTTGTACTATAATAGTCAAAAATGTAACAGAATTCGATTCATATATGACATAAATGACTTGATTGATTGTGTCCCCCACTAAAGGTTGAGGAGATTTAGATTTGCCCTTGTCAGTCATTTCGTCCGTTCGTGCATGCGTACGTTGGTTCTCATATTGTGTTGCATGTAGCTCTAAAAGTGCTAAAGTTAGAGACAACAAAAATTACAGGTATATCGTTCAGCATGTGCGGTTGAGATTTAATTTTTTTCTCAATATGCTTTGTATAGTAATGCTTAATGCTTCATGCCTCCAGATGAGTCAAAATAGTTAACGAAAATCAAACTTGGGCAACATGTACTTATATTTTTAAAGAAAGTCAAAGCTTCAAGTAATATTTTCATGTTATGTGCGATTATTTAAAATGATTGCTTTAATTTGCAGTATTTATCATTATATGACTATGACTTCATGACTTACGCAGTTCTTGTATATTTTGATCATTTTTTTTAATTTGCTTTGGTTGATAGTGCCGTTTTTCTTGTTTTACTTTTTATTTACTTCACATTATTATATTTCTGAAAACATTTTCAAACTTTTATTCAAAATTTGCATGAATATGGAGGTATGCTGCTTTAAAGTCATGACATCATTTAAAGGGACTCCACTGAGGTTTAAAAGCCTAAAAACATAACATTGGAATTTCTTACATAAATGAGCTGGGGCACTTTAAACAGAAATATATGCAAAGATAATTAAGAAATATACTTTGAAATAAATTGAAAATCGTATTTTTATGCTTTTCTTAGCCCGATTTGAGTGAAAAGCGTTCAAACGCTTTTCATTTTGGGTCATTTTTTTACAATTTGAATAATTATTCTGGAAAACAAAGTGCGCGAATGATCTGTAATTTTGCACAAAGATTAGTGGTCTGAACCTACATCAAATGGTACAATTATCTGGAAAAATATTTTCAGTTCCATCATGTCTAAAAAAACCTCAGTGGAGCCACTTTAAGTTTTAAATTAACAAACGATTGGCACCTAGTAAATGGACAACAAATACGATTGTATTACTGTAAGACTGGAAAAGCAGATATTATTGTTTCTAATTGCTTAGTAAAACGATACAGGGATCATCTTTATTTAATATTCAGTTATCTTTTTAGTATCTTTAATGACAAAATGACTAATTACGGAGATAAATTCTCCATAAAGAACAAGAATTAACATTCAGACATTAAAATCTAGACTTGGCAGAAATCATAATTATAATGCCAGGTGAAAATATTTACAACTGAATATTTTTTCTCACTCATTAAAGAATATCTCGACAATATTTGTAGATAAAAGTACTTAATG